ATAAATAAATAAATAAAATGAAAATAAAGTTTCATTATCCTTCGATAAAAGGAGAAAAATTAGCTATCAATAACCAACTGAGCTAACCAGCCGCCCACACAAATTAATTACAAAGAGACGTGAAAATGGATCTATACATCGCTTTCATTTGGGAGCACTTTGGTCTGCGACCCAAAATTTTTTCTGGCTTCAACTCGAAAAAGCAAGGGACACAAAAAATGAGTAAACAAGTAACTAGATTCACATCACGGAGAGAGAAGTGATCATACGAGCAGTAGCACCATTGAGCGAGTTATAATAGAAGTCTTATGTCTTGAAATGGGAATGAGCCTTTGGCCACCTTTAGTCCGCGAAACGTTGGCTTTTGCGACCAGCCGTAGGAAAGGCCACCATAGATAAAACCGTGGCACAGGTCGTGCCGACCCTCTGCATTTTTCCTAACCCTCCAAATTTCTAGAGAGACGTTATCAAACGTTTTTCATCTGAATGCATTTTTTTTTTTCGCGTCTCTCTCTCGGATGTGTGTGATCTTGTGCTAACCGGCAGGGATTGGTGAAACGCTTTGTTTCATTTCTGCTAGACCCTGGGGCGCTCCCTGTATTCCCTGCCCCTCCTCCCTCCTTATTCTTCCCTGTTTTGTTAAAGTCCTTTCTCTTGTGAGCACCTCCCCTCTCCCCAACTTGCACCTTCTGGCACCTTCCTGCACCTCCCTTAGTGTGGGAAAGAAAGACTGAGGCAGGGAGGTCCGGGACCGGTGAGCCGATAACTGTGCTCGTTCTTTGTTTCATCCCGTCTGCCTCGAGGGCCAACTGTCAAAATCGGGGGCCACGGCGGGCGGCAAGAATGTGGTTCAGGATCGGCAGACACCTCAGGGGCAGAGAACAGCCTGGAAAGGGCTCTTCCCCCTCTGGGGTTTTAGCGCATTCGGTCCTTAGTGTTTGCACACCGCGCCAGTGCCTTTAGAAGTCCGAGTTTCCCGTTTATGCATTTGCGGTGGCTGCGGCACGACCGCTGCCCTGCGCCGACATCGCATCAGGAAGTGGAAGAACGTTTCAGGCACACTTTTGTACAAGACACACTTTTCTTTCTGCGTGTGTTGGTTTCACAGTTTTGCAAAGGGAGAAAAGGAAGAGAACACAATGGCAGAGAGGTTTGTCTTATTCAAACTTGCGGGCGTTAAGGGTACAGCGGTCATCGGATCCACACTTCTGCCAACAAAGCCGTGCCTTGCGTTCCTCCCTTCCCTCGAGACCTGTCGCTGTGATCCTGCCATCCTGCTGCGGCTGCTCCGGCAGCCACCCTGAGGAGCCAGCAGAAGCCCTCGGGAAAACGCCTAGTTGTGTCTTCCCCTGAGTCAGCCGAGGGTCGGGGGGCAGTAACCCCGTCGACTTACGTGTGGGTTGTTGCTGGCCCTGGACTCTGTGGTACCTTCAAAATACGGACTTCAGAACCACGGTGCTTCCTTGTCCCTTGGCAGAGATCACAAAACCAGACCCTCTTCGTGGGCTGTGACGTAGGGAAGCTGGTTCAGCATTACGGAAGCCGATGGGTGCTGTGATGTTTTCCGTAACTGGAAGAGTGGGGTGCAGCTCAGGCTCACGTGCCCCAGCCAAGGCCAGCGTCTCCTCTGTAAAAGTTCCTTCTGCACAAGGGCCTTCCAAAGTACAGGCAGGTTTTCCCCCCACGAGGTGGTGGAGTAGAGGGTTTTTCCGCGTGCCTCGCCCACCCCGGAGAAGCAAAATCGTGTGCAGAGACTCAAAATGCAGACACCTCCCAGAGTGGCAGTGAGAATCCCCGGGTGCACTGCGCGAGGCTACGTCTCCAGATCGTACTGGGTGAGGCTGCCTCTCCCGGTGAGGCCGCCGAGACCCGTCTACACAGCGACTTCTTCTTCCTAGCAGGCAGGTCTGCGTTCAGGCTCCACCTGTTAGATCTTTAACCTGAGATCATCGTATGAAATGGTTTCCCCCTAAGTTAGCATTTACTAGCATAAAACAAGCAAAGACAGTGAAAGGGGAGGGGAGAGCAAACCAACTTTGGGCTGCAGAAGCGACTAGACGTTTTCCTGCACTCACCCGCTCTGGCTTCATGCCCGTCCTGCCGGGACAGAGTAAGTGCTTGAAAACTATTTTTGACAGAGCACTCATGGGGATAAATATGTTCCCCGATTCATTTCTTTCTTTCTTTTTTTTTTTTTTT